GTTGCTGTGCGTGCAATCCCTGTGTTTTAGTGTGCCTGTCCAGCCCTGCTGCCTGAAGTCTGTCAAAATGCATGGCAGGCTAAAATATGCTGTGACTTGACGGTGCTGAACACTGTAATGAGTGGTATTCATGGCCAGGGTCCTATATGCTCAGGCAGGAATTCCTGGAACACAGAATACCATGCCTATGCCACATTCAGTAATTTCCTCATTTGACCCTGTTACCACCTAGCAGGTTGCTAAACTTGTTTCTAATGCCTACCTAACCACCTGGTTCTTTACAGCTACTCCTGTCACCCTCTTATATGCATCTCTCACACTGTGCTGACATCTTTTCCACCCCTCTAAAACATGCACTGGCCACCTCTATAGTTAAAAAGCCCTCGCAGAACCCCACCAGTCTGAACAACGTAATACCCACCTCTTTGCTCCCATGTACAGTTGTGTTCAAAATAATAGCAGTCAGACATCACTAACCGGATCAATCACTGTTTTTAGTAGAAATGATATTTCTACATGGCAAATAATTTACTAGCAGGTGTAGTAGAGTAAAAGAAATCCAACAGACCCAACAGTCATGACATGCATGCTGCTGATTCTGTGTAATTGAATCACTAATTGAAAGGGGCATGTTCAAAATAATAGCAGTGTGGAGTTCTATTAGTGAGGTCATTCATTCTTTGAAAAACAGGTGGCAATTATTGCCCTATTTAAGGAAGGAAGGCAGCAAATGTTGTACATGCTGGTTACAGTGCATTTCTCTCTGAAATTCTGAGAAAAATGGGTCGTTCCAGACATTATTCAGAAGAACAACGTACCTTGATTAAAAAGTTGATTGGAGAGGGGAAAAAACGTATAAAGAAGTGCAGAAAATGATAGGCTGCTCAGCTAAAATGATCGCAAATGCTTTAAAATGGCAACCAAAACCTGAAAGACGTGGAAGAAAGCGAAAAACTACCATTCGAATGGATAGAAGAATAGCCAAAATGGCAAGGACTCAGTCAACAATCAGCTCCAGGAAGATCAAAGAAGGTGTAAAGTTACCTGTGAGTACTGTTACAATTAGAAGACACCTATGTGAAGCCAAGCTATCTGCAAGAAGCCCCCGCAAAGTCCCACTGTTGAAAAAAAGACATGTGCTGAAGAGGTTACAATTTGCCAAAAAGCACAATGACTGGCCTAAAGAGAAATGGCGCAACATTTTGTGGACTGATGAAAGTAAGATTGTTCTTTTTGGGTCTAGTGGCCGGAGACAGTTTGTCAGACAACCCCAAACACTGAATTCAAGCCACAGTACACTGTGAAGACAGTGAAGCATGGTTGCGCAAGCATCATGATATGGGGATGTTTCTCATACTACGGTGTTGGGCCTATTTATCGCATACCAGGGACCATGGATCAGTTTGAATAAATCAGAATACTTGAAGAGGTCATGCTGCCTTATGTTGAACAGGAAATGCCCTTGAAATGGGTGTTCCAACAAGACAACGACCCCAAACACACCAGTAAACATGCAACATCTTGGTTCCAGACCAACAAGATTGACGTTATGGAGTGGCCAGTCCAATCTCCGGATCTTAATCCAATAGAAAACTTGTGGGGAGACCAGGGGCGGACTGACCATTTGGAAACTCGGGCACTGCCCGAGGGCCCGGGTCAGTAGGGGGCCCCATGAGATGCCCCTGGTACCTTTTTCATAGGCTTTTTTTGAGTTTGGGCAAGAACACAGAGGCCCCATGATCCCCTATTTCCCGGGGGCCCCATGAGTTGTCAGTCCGCCCCTGGGGGCGACATAAAAAAATGCAGTTTCTGAGGCAAAAGCAAGAAATAGAGAAGAACTGTGGAATGTAGTCCATTCATCCTTGGCTGGAATACCTGTTCACAGGTGCCAGAAGTTGGGTGACTCCATGTGTCAGGGCTCCCAGGTATGACCAGAGGTGTGTGACTGACGCAGGGAAACGCAGACCTCAGATATGTTATAAACAATATAATTTATTAACACTAACAATACAAACATAAACGCAGTGCAATACTAAAACATAATACAGTGCAAACAAACCAAACCAAACCACCCACAGATAACAGTACATACAAGCAAGCGTCGTCAGGCAGGCCGGGTCAATATCAATAGGGCAGGTAGGTACAGGGGGAGCAAGCGGAGATTGGTCAGGGTCACAAGCCAGGGATCAGAACAGGTAGCAAGCAGCGTGGTACAGAGAGGTCAGACAGAGGGATGGTCAGGAGCGAGCCGGGATCAGAGCAGGAGAAGTCAGCAGCGGTTCAGAAACAGGATGCAGGACAGAAACAGGATGCAGGACAGAGAAACAGGATGCAGGGCCCAGGACAAACACACACCAAGGCAGAGTCTGTGGGTCTGGCCATCCCTTAAATACCCCCAGCATAATCAGTTACAGGTGTTAGCTGGCTGCAAAGTTGAGTCTCTGATTGCTGGGAACACCCGCTGGCCAGCCCTGGTACTGCAGATCAAAAGGCAGGTGAGTCCCACCATAGCTGGCCAGTCCATTCCTGACAGTACCCCCCCCTCAAGGAGCGGCCTCAGGACGCTCCAAACAGTCCTAGCTGGGAAAAATGTTCCACCGCCCGGGTCTGGTAACTGGCGGGATATCAAAGACTGGCACACCGGGCAGGACTCCGGGCAGCGGTACACCGGGCAGAGGCACATCGGGCTGGACTCCGGGCAGAGGCACATCGGGCTGGACTCCGGGCAGAGGCACATCGGGCTGGACTCCGGGCAGAGGCACACCGGGCTGGACTCCGGGCAGAGGCACACCGGGCTGGACTCCGGCAGAGGCACACCGGGCTGGACTCCGGGCAGAGGCACACCGGGCTGGACTCCGAGAGGCACACCGGGCTGGACTCCGGCAGAGGCACATCGGGCTGGACTCCGGGCAGAGGCACATCGGGCTGGACTCCGGGCAGAGGCACATCGGGCTGGACTCCGGGCAGAGGCACATCGGGCAGGACTCCGGGCAGAGGCACATCGGGCAGGACCCCGGGCAGAGGCACATCGGGCTACCAGGCGAGAGGCAGCGGCAGGACAGCGGGCCACCGGGCGGAGCGACAGGCACCGGGCCCCCGGGCGGGGCGACAGGCACCGGGCCCCCGGGCGGGGGCGACAGGCACCGGGCCCCCGGGCGGGGGCGCGACAGGCACCGGGCCCCCGGGCGGGGCGACAGGCACCGGGCCCCCGGGCGGGGCGGCGGGCGCCGGACCCCCAGGCGGAACTACAGGTCTCGGGCCCTCAGGCGGAGCGGCGGGCGCCGGACCCCCAGGCGGGGCGACAGGCCTCGGGCCCCCAGGCGGAGCGGCGGGCGCCGGACCCCCAGGCGGAACTACAGGTCTCGGGCCCTCAGGCGGAGCGGCGGCGGGCGCCGGACCCCCAGATGGAGCGACAGGCCTCGGGCCCCAGGCGGGGCGACAGGCATCGGACCCCCAGGCGGGGGCGACAGGCATCGGACCCCCAGGCGGGGCGACAGGCATCGGACCCCCAGGCGGGGCGACAGGCATCGGACCCCCAGGCGGGGCGACAGGCATCGGGCCCCCAGGCGGAGGGGCGGCGGGCCGGGCCCCCATGCGGAGCGGCGGGCGCCGGACCCCCAGGCGGAGCTACAGGTCTCGGGCCCTCAGGCGGAAGCGGCGGGCGCCGGACCCCCAGATGGAGCGACAGGTCTCGGGCCCTCAGGCGGAGCGGGGCAGGTCTCGGGCCCCCAGACGAAGCGGCAGGCACTCGGTCACCAGGCACGGTGGGCACCGAGTCGTCTGGCAAGACTGCGGGCACCGAGTCGTCTGGCAAGACTGCGGGGCACCGAGTCGTCTGGCAAGACTGCGGGCACCGAGTCGTCTGGCAAGACTGCGGGCACCGAGTCGTCTGGCAAGACTGCGGGCACCGAGTCAACTGGCGGAACAGCGGGCATCGAGTCAACTGGCGGAACAGCGGGCACCGAGTCGTCTGGCAAGGCTGCGGGCACCGAGTCGTCTGGCAAGACTGCGGGCACCGAGTCTCAACTGGCAAGACTGCGGGCACCGAGTCAACTGGCGGAACAGCGGGCAGGGGCACCGAGTCGTCTGGCAAGACTGCGGGCAGAGTCGAGTCGAGACTGCTGAGTCGGGCAACAACTGCGGCGGCATCGAGTCAACTGGCGGAACAGCAGGCACCGAGTCGTCTGGCAAGACTGCGGGCACCGAGTCGTCTGGCAAGACTGCGGGCACCGAGTCGTCTGGCAAGACTGCGGGCACCGAGTCGTCTGGCAAGACTGCGGGCACCGAGTCGTTGGCAAGGCTGCGGGCACCGAGTCGTCTGGCAAGACTGCGGGCACCGAGTCGTCTGGCAAGGCTGCGGGCACCGAGTCAACTGGCGGAACAGCAGGGCACCGAGTCGTCTGGCAAGACTGCGGGCACCGAGTCGTCTGGCAAAGACTGCGGGCACCGAGTCAACTGGCGGAACACGCGGGCATCGAGTCAACTGGCGGAACAGCAGGGCACCGAGTCAACTGGCAAGACTGCGGGCACCGAGTCGTCTGGCAAGACTGCGGGCACCGAGTCGTCTGGCAAGACTGCGGGCACCGAGTCGTCTGGCAAGACTGCGGGCACCGAGTCGTCTGGCAAGACTGCGGGCACCGAGTCGTCTGGCAAGACTGCGGGCATCGAGTCAACTGGCAAGACTGCGGGCATCGAGTCAACTGGCGGAACAGCAGGCACTGAGTCGTCTGGCAAGACTGCGGGCACCGAGTCGTCTGGCAAGACTGCGGGCACCGAGTCGTCTGGCAAGACTGCGGGCACCGAGTCAACTGGCGGAACAGCGGGCATCGAGTCAACTGGCGGGACTGCGGGCACCGAGTCGTCTGGCAAGGCTGCGGGCACCGAGTCGTCTGGCAAGGCTGCGGGCACCGAGTCGTCTGGCAAGGCTGCGGGCACCGAGTCGTCTGGCAAGGCTGCGGGCACCGAGTCGTCTGGCAAGACTGCGGGCACCGAGTCGTCTCGTCTGGCAAGACTGCGGGCACCGAGTCAACAGGCACGACAGTGGGCACCGGGTCATCAGGTATCGGATTGTCTGGCTCGACAGCGGGCATCGGGTCACCAGGTATGACAGCGGGCACTGGGTCACCAGGCATCAGGTCATTTGGCTTGCCAGCGGGCACCGCGTCATCTGGCAAGGCAGTGGGCACCGGGTCACCAGGTATGACAGCGGGCTCTGAGTCAATTGGCACGACAGCGGGCACTGGATCAGGTACCGGATCATCTGGATCAACAGCGGGCATCGAGTCAACTGGCCTAATAGGATCGTCGGGCTGGATCAGTTCATCATGCTGAGTAGCGGCATCAGGCTGAATGCAGGCATCAGGCTGAGGAGAGGCTTCAGGCTGAGGAGAGGCTTCAGGCTGAGGAGAGGCATCCGGCTGAGGAGAGGCATCCGCTGAGGAGAGGCATCCGGCTGAGGAGAGGCATCCGGCTGAGTAGAGGCTTCAGGCTGAGTCACGGAAGGCAGGTTCACCGGTTTGGATACTGGCAGGATGGTATTGGTTGGAAAGAATTTTCGCTTTTTTCTGGTTTTAACTACTGGAGCACTGCAAGTAAACGCAGGTCTGCAAACGAATGGAGCAGCTGGAGACAGAGAAAAACTGGAGGATGGAACAGGAGAGGGAGCAGTTGCTACAGAGGGCTTTTTTACAGGGTTAAAGGCAGGATAGGTGCAGCGAGTGGGAACAGGGTACTGACATGCGGTAGATAGCCAAGTATACTGGGCTGTAACTGGAGGAGCTGGTGGGAATACAGGAGTAGAGTTAGAAGCAGGACTGGGTTTTTGTAAGCTGACTGAGGCTGGGTGCAACAAGTCTGTCCATGTCTGCAGTAGGGGTTGAACAAAGCTGAGTTTACACAAAGCCTGTCTGGTCAATGACTGCACTGCGTTTATACAATCTCTTAGTGTCTGTGGTGAACATGTGGAATAACGCTCCAGAAAGTAACCCACATCATCCTCTAATAACCACACCAGGGACTCAACCTGGTCTGCACTAAATGGTGGCAAAAATTCATCCCTGCATTCGGGGGAACCAGATGAAACCAACTCAACACAAACCTGAATCAATGGCTGCACATAGAGAAATCTGTGCCCTGATCTACTAGAACATGAGCGAGCCGTATACATTCTAGCAGTTCATCCCCGGGGATACTCCTTCAGAGTCTGATAAGCATACTCTCTGTCATCAAGCACTAGCAGAGATAAATACTCAACCTCATCCAGATCCATCCTTCCCATCAACAAGCCAAGATGGCTTCCCTGTGCAGCCACTTCTGGTCAGGATTGGCCTTGGTGTAATGTCAGGGCTCCCAGGTATGACCAGAGGTGTGTGACTGACGCAGGGAAACGCAGACCTCAGATATGTTATAAACAATATAATTTATTAACACTAACAATACAAACATAAACGCAGTGCAATACTAAAACATAATACAGTGCAAACAAACCAAACCAAACCACCCACAGATAACAGTACATACAAGCAAGCGTCGTCAGGCAGGCCGGGTCAATATCAATAGGGCAGGTAGGTACAGGGGGAGCAAGCGGAGATTGGTCAGGGTCACAAGCCAGGGATCAGAACAGGTAGCAAGCAGCGTGGTACAGAGGGTCAGACAGAGGGATGGTCAGGAGCGAGCCGGGATCAGAGCAGGAGAAGTCAGCAGCGGTTCAGAAACAGGATGCAGGACAGAAACAGGATGCAGGGAAACCAGGACAAACCCAGGACAAACACACACCAAGGCAGAGTCTGTGGGTCTGGCCATCCCTTAAATACCCCAGCATAATCAGTTACAGGTGTTAGCTGGCTGCAAAGTTGAGTCTCTGATTGCTGGGAACACCCGCTGGCCAGCCCTGGTACTGCAGATCAAAAGGCAGGTGAGTCCCACCATAGCTGGCCAGTCCATTCCTGACACCATGCAACACAGATGTACAGCAGTTCTCAGAAACAGTGCTTATACAACAAAATATTAATTAAGTGATTCAAAGGAAAATCAAAATCTTCAAACATTTTTCAGTTTATATAGTGAATGTTTGAGTTTGTAAAGAAGAATACAAACACTGCTATTTTTTTGAACAGTCTAATATTCACTTTTCTTCAATTTTTTTAGAGGAACAACACAAATTTGATATATTTTTCTTCATGTTTTGATTTGAAATAGAATGTGTAGTGTTCCCAATGCATTTGTGTGTATGGAAATAAAAGCTATTAGAAGGATTTTGAGCTTTATTCACTTTTTTCAACACACTGCTATTATTTTGAACACAACTGTACCTTCAAACTTCTAATCTACAACTGACTGAGGTACCACCTCACTAAAAACAACCATTTTGACCTCTTTCAGCCTGGCTTTTGCCTGCAACTGAAACTTCCCTCCTAAAACTCACCAATGACGTACTAACTGACAAAACTAAAGGCCACTACTCTATACTCATACTCTTAGACGTTTCTGACCACTCTCTCCTCCTTAGTAAGCTCCTTGACCACGTAGACTCTGCTCTTTCGTGGTTCTCCTCCAACCTATCTCAATGCACCTTTATTACCACCTACAGCTGTATCCTTTTCTCCCTTTTTTATAGGAGTCTCCCAAGGCCCTTCTAATCTCTATCTTAACCTAACCTCCTTCCTTATTCAGTTAATAATTTCCCACAGCTTCCAATACCATCTCTATGCTGACAGAACCCAGCTTTCTTCCTCTTCTCCTCTGCTTATCCCTTCAGTCTCTTTACGCATCGCTAATTCACTAACTCGCATATCAGTATGCATATAATACCACTCAAACTCAATATTTCCAAAACTGAGCTCATAACATTTCCTACCCTGTGTTCCCTACTTGACTTTTCTTTTCAGATCAATAGCACAACCATCAGCCTCTGCCCTTATGCCAGAGTACTAAGTGTAATCCTGAACTCTGACCACTACTTCCAGGCTGACAATAAACTGTTACTAAGCCCAGGACCCTGCATTCGCAATATTTTGTCTCCCACTGTACACACTACATGGAAATGCAATTATTGTAGTGAATATAAACTGCTAAATACCTTTTCTCATCAGCAGTATATATCAGTCTTCTGACTTCTATCAGTGTCCAGCTGACAAAGCCTGTAGGAGGAGTTTTCATTCCCCTCTGACTGTCCTTTGAGGTTGCATAACCCCTGACCCCGTGCCTGGACAGTGTCGATTGGGCCTGTGCTGATGACATGCACCCTCCCAAAGAAAAAAAACTCCCTAGCAATACACCCTAAACTGAACACCCTTTTTACACAATGCGGAGCATTAATCTCTTAGGTTTCACAGTGAGTATAACAAGCATGCTTTACTGCATATACAGACTGATTATACTGTTGTGGGTTTAGTAACACATTAAATCACTGTCCAAAGCTCACTGCCTATTTTCAAAATATGTCCCTACTTAACAAATGGCACCTCAAAGCTACTAATTTTCTCTATTATTATCTCTTGTGTTGATTATTGCAACTCTTTCCTTATTGGCCTAAATTTACACAGACTATCCTCCTTCAGTTTATCATGAATACTGCTGCTAGACTTATCTACCTTTCCAACTGTTCTGTGGCTGTGTCTCTATCTGCCAACTACTCCACTGGGTTACACTAGCCAACATATGAAATTCAAATACTAACAACATTCAAAACCATCCACAACTCTGCCCAATGCTACGTCACCTCCTGTTCTCCAACCCTCGTTACCTCCTCCTCCCATGAGCAATTCCAGGATTTCTCCAAAGCCTCTCTCTTCTTCTAGAAATCTCTACCCCAAACTATCTCACTCCTACTCCTTCAGCATTTAGGTGATCTCTGAAATCTCATCTCTTCCGGGAAGCCTGTCCTAGTTCCACCTGAAAACTAGTTTACTTCATCAGATCACTGCTCACAGTCATCACCTTTTATACCACCTGCCTCTCTCTCTCAGATTGCTTTAGCATTGATTTGCTTTAAAAAGAGCCTGCTAATCATGTAAAAGGACCCTAGATCTCCTTCTGCTGGCTGGAATTAGGTAGATATAAAAATTCATATGCATATTTCATATTTACCCACTCAGGGCAGGGCTTAGGGGTAGGCAGAAAAGGTGACTGCACTGGGCACATCAGCAGAAGTGGGGTGCAAAAAGGGAGAGAACCTACAACTTTTTTGCTGAGGAAGTTCATCTCTCATCACTGTCAGTAGCAGATTACCTGCCCTCTTGTTTCTGAGAAACAACCCACTGGTTGCAAGCTTTGCACCACATTATCAACATTGTTGAATTATTATTGGTAGTTTACAACCAGCCTAAGTGCACCTTGGGGTAACTCTATGTTTGTCAAGTGTACACCTAATTGTTAAGTCATCAGAACACAGTATTATGGTGCCATATTAAATTATCAGGCACGGATGACATGTGACATCATCATACACCAGTGACACTCCAATTGGTGGCTCAGTTATTAACTAACCAATTTTGTTTTTTATTCTGAGCCCAACAGCAATCTTCCAATGGTACCCTTGTTCCAGTAACAAATGTCAGAGATGGGATTGCCATTTATTTTGTAGATACTTCCTCTTACAACTTCTTGTCCCTCTAGAGACAGATAGTGCAGGGAGATCTTCCAAATGGGGTCAAGGACATTGAATAAAGTCTGACAAAGGTTCTAACAGTGTAACTAAAAGCAAAAGTTTTTGCTCGCAGGCCCAAGGGAAAGTGCACCTTTTAAACCTACTTCTATATTTGTGATAATAACAAGGAAGCATTGAGATTATGAACGAGTAAATTTAAACAGACACAGTGAATTTGTAATTAATATTTTATTTTGCACAAGCTTGCATATATACTGCACATACATTCAGTTTAGAGAAGATGGAAGGCACACAAGGCAATTGAACTACTTAATCTTTTAAGTGGTACAAAGCGAAAAGGTTAAATCTGGAGAGAATACAAAAGCTTAAAACACACTAAATAAAATACCCTCAAACCCACCAACTGACCCCGTCCCCCCATCTCCTTTATTTTCTAATTGACACTGAATTAGCTGCCAAGCATCAAATTTGGAAATCAACTGTCTACTGCAACCTTATTTTTATTCCTTTTATGGAATGGGCATTTTATTTGTTAATTGTGTAATATCATTCTTCATTACAGTACATCCTTGGCAATACAAATAATGTACACCTTCTTCATAATAAATTAGGATAAATTAAACCAATAAATTATGCAAAGTTTTCAGAACATTTGACAAAGAGAAAGAAAAAACAATCCACAGTCGATAAATTGTGCCTAACTAGAAAAGAAAAAAAATTCATTTTTTATACTATCTTAAAATTATATGATTTTCATTAAAAAAAAGAACATAAGAATGCTATATACAACATATTGCTAAATAATATAAAGGCAGTGTTTCATCACAATTTATAATTATTTACACACACATAAAGACTCATTTTTTAATTTATCTATCAACTTTTTCACTCATTTGAGTAATGCCAGTTTCATTAATTTATTTGTTTCCTATCAAAACAGCA